CTGCCGCCGCCGGCCGTGCTGCGAAGAAGGGCTCCCGGGCGCGCCTCGCCACCCTCGGCCCGCTCCCTAGTCACCGAGCTGCGGCTGCCACTCGCTGCCCAGTGACGCGGGGGCGGAACTTTACGTAACCACCTGGCCCCCACGCTGCCCACAGTCATACCTGGGGCGCGCAGCCTCGGGCTCGGGGAGCCTGCCTGCCCCCTCTCTGCAACTCGGTTACCACCAGTAAGAGTGGTCGAGTGTGTGCGAACCGCATGTGTGCTGCCCCAGGGCCGTGGTACCAGGGTTCACCCTTGAGACAAGGCCGTGGGAGCTTGGGCTGCGGCCAGGGCGCCGGTGGGGGCTGGGGCGCGGAGGGCAGAGCTCCGGCTGGCCTCCTTGCGCCTCAGGGAGTCCGAAATGGGAGGCAGGAGGCTGGGCGCCAGGCCCGGCTCTGCTGATTTGCCAAGTGACCTTGGACAAGCTCTTTTCAACGAGAGGTTAGTACCCGGTTCATACGGTGGCTGGAGGACCCAGATAGCTGACAGTCAAGTGTACACACCAGTATCTGCGTTGGCTTCACCCTCCTGGCTGCCCCTTTCCTGGAGCTCTAGGGGTGCTGGCCAACACTGAACGTGTTTGCAGGTGAAGTCCTCGCGCCACTGCCCCTACTTACCCCCTCCCCCCTTTACAGATGAAGACGCTGAGGCCCAGCGAGGGGCAGTGACCCCCCCACATCTACAGAACCAGGTCGGTCTATCCAGAGCCGTGCCCCTGCCCTGCCTGAAGGTGGCTGGGGAACGAGTGGAGGAGGGAGGTTCAGGGGCAGCGGGCAGCTCTGTGTGGTCAGGGTTTACGTGGGGCTAGGGGCAGGGAACAGGAGCCCTTGGTGGTACAGTTGTTAAGTGCTCAACCGCTAACCAAAAGCTACAGAGTTTGAACCCACCAGCTGTTCCACAGGAGAAAGATGTGGCAGTCGGCCTTCTTAAAGATTTACAGCCTTGGAAACCCTAGGAGGCAGTTCAACTCTGCCTTTTAGGATCGCTGGGACACTGAATTGACTCAGATGGCAGTGAGATTTGTTTGTTTGTTTAGGGGCAGGAAATGTGGGCTGAGGTCTGGATGTGGCTCAGAGAGAGACGTGGGTACCAACTTTCCGGCCTCTTCTTTTTCTTTGTTTGGATGGACACAGGAAGCGGGAACACGTTGCCCTCCAGTGGGGGCCTGGGGTGGAGAGGGGTCGGGAGGCAGGGCTAAGAGCTTGGGGAGGTGGGTGGGCCTGTGAGGGCCGGGGCAGGGCCAAGGAACAAGACAGTTGTAGGAAGAGACATCAGATGCGGCTAGATCAAGGGGGTGGGGGGTGGTTCTGGATCTGGGAGACCACGGCGCAGTGCAAAGGCCTGGGCTGCGTGGGGCCGCGTGAAGGGCGGATGAGAGCCCCTCTGTGGCCACTTCCCAGACAGACCCCTTACCGTGGCTCCTGCCTCTGCAGGTGGTTGTGTGGCGTCCCATGCCGTGAGGCCGGGAGGTTCCCTACCTCCAGCATGCCGTGGGATGCGCGGCGGCCCGGGGGCGGCGCAGATGGTGGACCGGACGGCGCGGGCACGGCACGGTCGCAGGCACAGAAGCAGTGTCGCAAGTCGTCGTTTGCTTTCTACCAGGCCGTGCGCGACCTTCTGCCCGTGTGGCTGCTTGAGGACATGCGCGCCAGCGAGGCCTTCCACTGGGACGAGCGCGGCCGCGCCACCGCCTACTCTCCGTCCGAGGCGCTGCTCTACGCGCTCGTGCACGACCACCAGGCCTATGCGCACTACCTGCTGGCCACCTTCCCGCGCTCCGCGCTGGCGCCGCCCTCCGCCGGCTTCCGCTGCTGCGCCGCGCCGGGACCTCACGTGGCGCTGGCCGTGCGCTACAACCGCGTGGGCGTGCTGCGTCGTATCCTGCGTGCCGTGCGTGACTTCCCGGCCGAGGAGCGCGTGCGCCTGCTCGACCGGCGGGGCTGCAGCCGCGTGGAGGGCGGCGGGACGGCGCTGCACGTGGCCTGCGAGCTGGCGCGGCCCGAGTGCCTCTTCCTGCTGCTCGGCCACGGCGCCTCTTTGGGCCTGTGCGACGCCGGCGGCTTCACGCCGCTGGAGCTGCTGCTGCGCCAGTTGGCCCGCGACGCCGGCGCTGGCCCTGTAGCCGGGGCTCCGGCTGCCGCCGATCCCGGGGAGCTGCGCCAGCGCCGCCTGCTGCTGCTCGACCTGCTGGCGCTCTACACGCCCACGGAGGCCGCCGGCCCGGCCCGTCGCGAGCTGCTGGCTGACCGGCTGCGCTGGCAGCGGCTGCTGGGTGAGGACAAGTTCCAGTGGCTGGCGGGTCTGGCGCCGCCCTCGCTCTTCGTGCGTGCCATGCAGGTGCTCGTCACCACCATCTCGCCCAGCCGCTTCCCTGAGGCCCTTGAAGAGCTGCCGCTGCCGCCCTTCCTGCAGCCGCTGGACCTCACAGGAAAGGGCTAGACCGTGGGACGCCTGGGGCCACAGGGTTTGTGGGAAAAAATTTTCTGATTGTGTATCCAGCACTTTACATAGAGTGTTATCTGTGGCCGAGTCTTGCCTCGTCTGTCCCAGCAGTGGGGGACTGGGACAGGGCCTGGGGGGGTCAGGCTGGGCTCCAAGCAGCAGGTGTTTCTGGGTGTGGAGCAGGAGCCAGCCAGACCCTGATGATGAGGGGCAGCCTCGCCACCGTGAAGCAGGGCCTCCGGGAGTCCCCCGGAGGAAGGGACACTAGACTGAGCAGGAAGGAGTTGAGCGAACACACGGCAGGGTGGACGGGTCTTCCCAGGAGGAGGTGGGCATGTGCAAACACGTGGAGGCTGAGGGACCCCCGTGCGGGCTGACGGAGGCCCCACTGGGGTCTGGGCGGAAGCACAGCAGAGGCCTGACAGGTGTTAAGGGGTTTGTCCACTCTGTCAACTTGGCCTTGAGCCTGGGGTGGGGAGGGCCGGGCCGGCCAGTGGTGGTACCCGAGGACTTTCTGCCCTGGAGTCTGAGCCATGTCCACCCACGTCAGAAACGGGGGTTGGGGCTTGGGTCCCGAGGCTCTGACACCTTTACCCCCTTGTGTGGGTCTCCCCTGGCGTCAGAGCAGTGGTCTCTGCTGCCTGGACCCTCCCCCTAGCCCAGTATGCGTGCCTGGACCTCTCCTTGTTGCCCAGCCCCAGACTGGCCACCAGCTTCTCCCTGGGGATCCCCACCCAGGCCCACCCTGGTCCCCGTTGTCCCTCCTGCCCTCACTGCAGCCATTGCAGCTATTGCCGTGCCTCTCAACTCATCCTCTCCCAGCCCCTGGGGTGGACTCGCGTGTGTCCCGTGGGCCAGCCTCCCGTGGGCCATGCGTGGTGGGGAGGGTGGCTGCATGGCTGCCCTGTGGTGTGCCTTCTTGCCCAGCCTGGAGACGGTTTCTGTGAATGGAGACGTGTTTGCAGGCAACAGACAGTCAGGGTCCCCCACCTCCCAGGGCGCCTCTGCTGGATCCTTGGGGTTCCCAGGGCCTCTCGCGCACACGACCATGAGCAAAGGAGTGGATGAGAACACCCAGGACCCTCAGGAGACAGCCTCTGGCCGAGCAGCTGGGGCTGTGCCTAGAGCCGCCTCGGGACCAGGAGGACAGCCAGGCTGCCTGGGAATTCTGCAGGCCTGTGAAATTCAACCCGCACCGGCCAAGTGGGAGGGCCGCGTGTCCTGCCAGGTGCAGAGGGCTGAAGGTCTGCCTGGCCAGGAGTGACCAGCTGGCCGGGGCACCTCCTGCCACCTGCCCCTGGTGATCCTGTGGGGAGCATGCCTGGGGGTCTAGGGGGTGCTAGGCCATACGAGGGAGGGTGGGGACAGGGCTGGGCAGCAGGAGGGTCTTGTAGCTGGTTGTGGCCTGAACCTGCCACCCACTCTCAGGGTGGCCTTGGACAAGCCCCGGCCTATTCTGGACCTCAGTATCCTCATCTGTGCTTGGACCCGCCCTAAAGGATGTGTTTCTGGGAAGGGTGAGGCTGGCATGAGGGATCCCCTGGGATCCAGATGGGCAAGGGCCAGGGAATCCCAAGAATCCATGGAGGCTCCCCCTTGCGTAGTGGGGCATCGAGCCCTTTGGGGTTCCACAAGTGTCGCCTTGCCTCAGGTTTGGGGACTGGAGGGGGAGTGGAGAAAGGGTAGGGAAGGGGGCACAGACCCCGCTGAGCCTAGATTCTGGTTGCAAAGGGCCCCCGCTGTGTGCCCACGGAGGTCAAACAGCCTCCCTTCCTGAATCTTGGCCCACAGCTACTGACATTTCTCCCAGCCCCAAACTTGGGATGAGAGTCCTGGGGTCCCCTAGGAGACTCCCCCGGTCAGAGACAAACAATGGGGAGGGGTTGAGACTCTGCAGGGGCCAGGGCAGCAGCAGGCCTTGGTGGCTTCTGGCATTGGGCCTTTGGAGGAAAGTGACATGGGGTGAGGAGTGGTCCCTGCCTCTGGTTCCCTGCTGGCCAGGCAGGACACAGGCCTGAGGAGGAGAGGATCCTTCAAAAGGGAGAGTAGAGGACAGGACGCCACAGACCCCAGCATCAAGCACTGGATGCCCTTCAGGGGTCGGGGTGGGAACCAGAGAGCAGCTCTCGGACAGAGGAGTGGCCCTGGGGACTGGTTCCCATGCTGGGTAACCGAGGTCACTTTCAGCCCCGATGCACTGGAAGGGTGAGGGTCCCGAGGCTGAGTGGGCAGGAGGGGGGCAGCCCTGGGCCTTAATCCCCACAGTCATCGCTGGAGTGAGCTGCACTGACGGGAGTTAGCCGGGAAGATGTTGGAAATAGGCCCAGAGTGGGCAGGGCCAGGGCAGCATCAACAGCCTGGTGGCAGAGCCCATGCTGATATGTTCTTCCTGGTAGCCCTGGTGCAGCGGAACGTGGGGACAGGGTACACAGGGCCACGGGGTATCTGGAGGCCACCGTGTCTCTGGCCAGAGGGAGGGGCCAGCGCCGGCCGTTATCGGCCTAGGCAGGGCCCTGGAGTGAGTCCCCACCCTGGCAATGAGTGTGCAGGACTCGGGGGCTGCCTGCCCAGGCCAGGTTGGCTGCACCTGAAAAAAGCCTACCTCCCTTCCGGGCAAAGCTCCTTGGCCCGTTTGTTCATTCATTTGAGCTGTTGCTAAGGAAAACCCATGGCTGGCTCTGTCCCTCCCCACAGTGTCCTGTCTCTGCTCCAGATGGCTGGGAGGACAGTGGACCCTCAGCTACTTGGACTCACTGAAGTCGGCCTGAGTACAGAACAGCTGTGGGAGGGGACATAAAAGTGCTGGGGAGGGTCATTGTGTGAAGTGGCACGGGGCCCAAGGCCCTCCTGGGTCCCTCCTCCAGCCTTGCCCTGGCTGTGCCTGGGGACCCCCTCCTGCCGGGCTGGGGCCCCACAGCCCCTCTGCCGCCACAGTGGTCGTCCTGCTCACTTGCCGCCCTCCTGATTCTTCCTGGATTTTAAGATGCCGTGTGGAAAGCAGCTTCCCGTCATCCCAGCCCTTACAAGGCGCTTGCGTCTGAGCTCGCGTGGGCGGTGACTGTTGCACCTGATCCTTTTTTAAAATTGAGGTATAACTTACACAAACTAAACTGCGCAGAGTTTTGGGGTCGTTTCATGAGTTCCATCTGTAAGCCTGCAACCATCACCCCCCAAAAGGTAGAGGGTGTTTCCACTGTCCCAGAGAGACTTTCTACCTCCAGCGATCACAGGCTCTCTTTCTGATGAGGATGTTCACGCTCTGGGCACGACAGTGGGGTTTCGCTGAGCAGTCAGGGCAGGCGGGCAGAGCGGGCAGTGCCGAGTGGCCGCCCCGCAGCTCCTGGGGGCTGGTGCCCGCCTGGCACAGGGACAGGGCCGAGTCTACGGCAAAGAGCCGGTGCTGGACTCACCCCCGTCCAGACACCCAACACCATCTTGTAGATCACTTTACCGTCACAGACGCCCGGCAGGCTCGCTCGTGTTACCCTTGAATGCGTGATGGCACTCCATGAGACGACTGCTGCTCTCCCTCGCTTTCTCCGATGATGGGCTCCCAGGCACGGTCTTCGGTGGGTTCTCTTTCCGCACTCAGCAGAGCAGAGCACACAGCTGGCCTCGACCGTAAAGGCTCTAATACTAAGGCATTCGTTTTAACCTGCTGAACACTCCCAGCTGGCCACGGTAGTAACGGCGGTGAAGTCACTGCTCAGTGACGCCCCCTCCAGGTGTTACCCCAGGCACCGGCCACACCTGTGGAAGCCTCTGCACTGGGGGCTGCTTGTCTTGGCGGCAAGCCGCCATGATTCCACCACCAGACAATCATTGCTAACGTCTTGGTGACTGTCTTCCGGTTTTTTTGGTCTATAATTATATTTTAGAAGTTTTCTATGCATGTTTTTACATAAATGAAATCCCATCACTCACACCATTCAGTATTCCCAAACTTACTGTAAATGAACATTTCCTATGCTGTAAAGCAGTTTGCAAATGTGACTTAAAAGACGTCTTTGGAGTGTTGATTTTGTGACATTCGGTTCCGCAAGTGTTGATACTATAGAGTTAATGTCAGAAAAAAACAAGGTTTTAGAATTTACACTTTATTTATTTTTAGAATAAATAATACATTTACCTGGCTCAAGATTCAAAAGTTACAAAAAGGTCCATCGTATAGGCAGTGCTGTGCCCGCTTCTTGTTAAACCAAAACCAAACTCACTGCCCGTCAGGTTGATCTGACTCGGGGACCCCCACTGGGTTTCCAAGCCGTGAATCTTTACAGAAGTATTGCCCCATCTTCCTTCCACGGAGCGCCTGCTGAGTTTGATTAGCAGTTAAATGCCTCATCCAGTGTTGCTTCCCACCCCTCCTCTGTCCCCTCCAATCATAACAGCAGCTGGAAGGGTACTGTGGACACCTGCGACACTGCATTATCTCCTGCCCTGCTGTCTATGGTGTGACCTCCAGAACCACAGTATCGTGACCACATCCAGGAAATGTAACACTGACACGGTAAAATTACCCAACAGACGGCCCGTGGCAGATCACCACCAGGTATGCCTGCTTTTGACACCTGCATAGTCTTGCATCAGCCTAATGTGCCAGAGGTAATGTCATCGTTCCCTGAAATGGCAGGGTGAGAACATCCCACTAAACACCCCGATTTAGGATCTGTTTCTGAGGGGAGACCGCCAGCAGTGGGTTCGTGGGTTGGGGCCATGTTTAAGGCCTTGGGAGACAGACAGCTGCCTTCCCCAGAAGCAGACCCCCCAGGGCCAGTGGGTGCTCCCTGTGCATGGAGTACAACCCTGCCCTTGTCCATTTGTGGTGCCCCCTCGGCCCAAGTTCTTCACCCAATGGCCTGTTTGTGTCAAGTGCCCCCCACCTCCTCTGTCTGGTGCTTCTCCCACTCTGCTGGTTGATCCAGGCGTTTACACACTAAACATCAGTCACGTCTGCTGTAATTAGTGCTCCTCTCGAGTTTATGTGGCATTTTTAATTTACAGCAGTTTTCATTTTGAAAAATCAAGTCTGTCTACTACTTCTTTCCCTCTGTAGCTTTTCCTTTTAGAAAATCTGGCCACCCAGAAACCAGACACAAGTTTCCTTTCCCCCTAGTTTTAAAAATTCTTTGATCCACTTAGAATGTTTGATATATGGTGTGAGGAAGGGAAACAAACTGATTTTTTCTGTCCAGATAACCAAGCAGGGACATGGTCCTTAACTCCCCTGCCTTGGTGATGCCTCTATTATGACAAGACCCACAGAGCCGTGGCACTGCGTTCTCATGGTCCCCGTGACTTTCTGGGCCCTGGTTGTCTTTGACATGCTGACCCCAAAGGGCCCCTACCTGTTGCCCCTCTGGGTGATTCTCACCCATTTCTTCTCCCTGAGACAGACGAGAGACAGTTTGGCAGCAAACAGAACACCTGGAAGCCAGTCTCGGTGCCCCATGATCTTGAAGTCATTGGGCTTGTCCAAGCCACACAGGGCAGGGTGCAGTGAGGAGATGTGACGCTGGATGCGTGTGGCCCAGAGCATGCTGGGCTCAGACAAGGGGGCAGGTCTGTGGGCATTAACAGAATTTTGTGAATTTCTTCCTGCCTCTAAGGAAAAGCTCTCCATGAAGACTTTGACTGAAATTAACCCTCTAACTCCTGTGGAGAGGACTGATGTCTTGGCATCTGTGTGTTCCAGTGGAATGTCCTCCTTAAAGCACAGCCACGTCACACAGGCCGTCATCTGTCCCACTGCTATCAAAGTGGCAGTTCTCACATTTTCCTGCTTGGCATCTTTGGTCCTGGTTTTGTTTCTTGGATGGAGACTTACTAACTGGAGGTGTGAGCCTCTCAGTGCAGGCCTGAGGTCTCTGTCCTCCCAGGGGCTACTGCAGCTTGTTCAGCTCTGGCGTGACCACACCCCATGCCAGCTGTGCCACCTAAGTCTTGGCCGAGGGCGGTGGGCAGACACCAGCCTCAGAGGTGTCTGCCGAGGGCCCCTCCTCAGCCCAAACGGGACTTGGCCAACTTGGAAACGCCTGTCTATTGCCCTGTCTCGAAGCCTAGGGATTGAAACTGGATGCCGAGGGTCCAAAGACTGAACCTGCACAAAGGGATCCATCAGAGAGCGGAAGGCAGCCCTGGGATTTTGGCCACTTGTCATCATTGGACCTGGAAAACCCCTTCCTCTTCCCCGATGGCTGGCCCTGTTGGAGAACATTATTTCTTGCTCTCCCGTGGCCTAAGCTTCCTGGCATACTTCCAGACGTATAGGAAACAGGTGTGGGGAGAGGGGCTGTGGTCAAAGATTGGCTAAAAACAGCGCTCGCTCGCTGGAGTGTCCCTGGGGCTGCCTGCAGGAGGGAAAGTGCCGTCACAAAGCTCAGGTGCCAGGGAGGGGAGGGCACTGCAGGCTAACGCCAAGGGCCAGTACCCTAATATGTCCGGGGGGTACCCAGTCCAAATTCCAGGGGCGTCGGCCCTTAGTGCCCGCTGAAGGTGCTGGGTTTCTACACGGAGCTGGCCGGCAAGTCCAGGCTGCCCTGCGAGCCGAGGCTGTGGGAGGCCACCCTGGGCAGCAACGGTCGGGAGGCACTGGAGGACAAAGGCCTCCCACTGCGTCTCTCTCAGTCTGTCAGATCTGATTGAGATGAGGTATCTTACACGGGTTTGTAATCCAACAAACAAAACAGGCAGCACAGGTCGCTTTACCCTTGAGAATGCTTGTGCTGCCGGCTACGCTGCTAAACGTCACTCTGAAGACACTGCAGAGACCTTTCTGGAGTAGGTGACGTGGCCCAGCTCCCCCACACCGACTGTCCCTGCCTCAGAGCAGGGGCTACAGGCCCACCCATGTGCACACTGACATCCTCCATTCACATCCATTGCCTTTATTGTTGCCACTTGGCAGCGTGGGCCCAGGAGGCGGCCCTGCCCTGCCCTGTGCTGCGTGTGCTGGGGGAGTGGTGTGTGCACGTGTGGTTGTGTTCTCCCATCTGTGGGCAGCCCTGCACCCCACTCTCTCCAGGTGGAGCTCTAGGGCAGAAGGTACTAGAATGGCTCATCCAGGAGGCGATGGGCCGGAAGCACTGTCACCTCTACTCCCACTGGCCCTGGGGCTGCCCAGGGCTCCCCAGGCCCACTGGCCCCGGTTCTGACCTCCCTGAGCCCAGCGAGGCTCCCCTGTAACTGCAGGAAGCGGGGGCTGGGGTGTGTGCACCCGGGAAGCAGGCGCTGCCTGGAGGTGCCAGGGATCACTCGGAGGCTGTGTGTTCTGGACAAGACGGAGACAGACGACGATAACAGGTGTGGGCGGCTGGCCAGGCTGGCGGGGCGTGTCTGAGTGAGTGGCCCGGCCCCGCTGAGTGCCCCGCGGAAGTCACAGCTCTCTGCCCCAGTGCTTCGGCTCCCGGCGCTCCTTCAGATGACCTCCCACTCGTCCTCAAAGTCCTCAGGGTGGGGCGCGGCAGCGGCCAGGCTGCCCTTCCGGGCGCCGTGTGAATGGCTGAATGTCTTTGTCAAGCGCTGGAGGAGGCAGCCTGGTGGGCCAATCGCCCACAGCTCGTCCGCAGCAGTCACTGCAGGGGGAAGAGCTGTCACATGCCTGGGCTCACCTGTCCTGGGCAGGGCCAGTGCTTGACAGGGTCACACACCTCGCCCTGCCGGGGTCTTCTAGCGGGGGACCTTGGGCAGGCTGCTCCTCAACCTGTGCCTTAGTTTCTCCCTTAAATAGAGCTGCCCTGGGGACCAGCCTCCTCACATGCCCTCCCTCTCGGGAGGCGGAGGCCAGTGGAGTGGCCTGGATGAGAGCACAGGGCCCTCCTTGCAAAGCCCACCCCCCATGGGGTCCCCGTAACCCCAGAGGAACACCGCAGTCTCACGTCTCGCCACCCCCCTGCCACGCCTGGGCACCTGCCTGTGACACACGACACGTTCCCAGGAATTTTCTTCCAGTAGTCTCCTGCAGGGTTCTTGTCCGTGACTCCATACCGCCGGGCGAGGTCTCCATTGGTACAGCGGGCCCACACAGTCCTCGTGCTCAGCACCAGCTGACAGGCCTGCAGCCCTGGTGCAAAGACACGGTGTGGCCCTTGGCCATGTGTATCCTGGGGTAGAGGGGACCCTCTGGAAGGGATAGAGCAGGGGCCTGGAGACAGGGTGCCTTGTGGGCAGGGCTGGCACAGCCAAAGGCCACGAGGGTCCTGGCTGGTCTAGAAAGGACCGCATACTACAGAAGGGCCCCAAGGACACAGAGGGTCTGGGCCGGGTCCATGGGAGTGAGTGGCCTGCTTGTCACCTGCCTTGGAAAAGCAGAAACAGTGCTACAGGGACCAGAACCCCCACAGACCCAACCTCCTGACAGTCAGCCACCTGTGGGGCTGCCTGGACACAGGTGGAAGGCGGTGGTCAGAGCCACTGTCTGTACCTGGCACGTGCTCCCAGCTGGTCCCCACTGGCATCTCCTCAGTGATCCCAATGCGGACATGCACGCCCCATTTGCTGTCAACTGCCCAAAGCATTCGGTCATTGGGGCTGGAGTGGATGCTGACCAAGATGAGCCCAGCAGGCTGCAAGCAGGAAGAGATTCTCCTCAGGGAAGGAGGCAGTGGGGGTAGTGTCATTTGTGGAGAGAGGAAGGACACCTGGAAGGTCTGCGGGACTGAGGATGTGTCGGAGCCTGTGCCCTGGTTACGCTGACTCAGGGATGGAGGTGTAACGGAAGGGCAGCTGCTGGCAACCAGTTGAGAGCACAACCAAAAACAAAGTGACAAAGTCACTGGACTCTCAGAGCCCAGTGTCCCAGGGGAGAAAGATGCTCATCAAACTGCTCTTGATTAAAACCCCCTCACCCATCTGTGGTGGCAGTTGTGTTGCTGGGAGCTGTAACACCTGTATCTCAAACACCAGCAGGGTCCTCCATGACGGGCAGGTTTTAGCAGAGCTGACAGACGAGGAGAAAGGCCTGGCAATCTCCTTCCCAGAATCGACCAGTGAAGAGTGCATCCCAACACCACACTGTCTGATGCAGCTGGCAGAGGAGCCCTCCAGGGAGAGGGCACTCAGAACACACAGTGGACGTGGCAGTGGGCCCGAGCTGACCGCCCAGTGAAGACGGCACGGGACTGGGCAGTGTTTCGCTGGGCTGTGCACGTGGTTGCAACGAATCAGAGCTGACCCAGTGGTAATAAACAACGAAGACACAGAAAGAAACACAACATACTGCTGAGCTGGAAGCATCATGTGGCTGTCAGGCGCGTGTGAGGCAGCTGTAAGGAGTGTGCGAGGCAGGTGTGAGGAACATGTGAGGCGCCTGTAAGAAGTGTGCGAGGTGTCTGTGAGGTGTGTGAGAAGCAGATGCGAGGTGTGTGAAGTGGCTGTGAGGAACATGTGAGGCGGCTATGGGGTGTGTGTGAGGTGCACGTGAGGTGCACGTGAGGCGGCTGTGAAGTGTATGTGAGGAACGTGTGAGGCAGCTGTAAGGTGGCTGTGAGGTGGCTGTGAGGAGTGTGTGAGGCGGCTGTGAGGTGTGTGTGAGGTGTGTGTGAGGTGCACGTGAGGTGGCCGTGAGGAGTGAGAGGCAGCTGTGAAACGTATGTGAGGAGCGTGTGAGGTGGCTGCGAGGAGTGTGTGAGGAGCATGTGAGACAGTTGTAAAGCGCGTTTGAGATGGCTGTGAGGAGCGTGAGGCAGCTGTGGTGTGTGCAGGGTGTGCACAGTGCACTTAGATCAAGTGAAGCTGGCTGTGCCGTGGTGCTGCACGTGAAGGAAGGAACCCTTGTTCTGAGGAGCACACGGGGACTGGTCAGGGGCAAGGGGCCATCTCTGTAAGGCCCTCCAAATGCCAACACACAGCCACCCTCTTGCTGTTTACACTTGAGACAAGGCCAATGGGGTGAGATGTGAATGGGTGAGTCAGCATGGGGGTTACTGAGACATGGCTGTACGTCTTCATCAGCCTAAAGCTTTCTCAAAATAAAAAGGTTAATTAAAAAAATTACAAAAGCTAACTACAACAGCCCCCTGCAAACTACAACAAATAGCACTGTCCTTGAGCACCAGGGGCCGGAGAAGGTGCACAGAGCCCCTTGGAGCTGTGGTGAGAGGAGGGGAGCAGAGGGCCCTTCATCCACGGCCAAGAAGGGAGGGGGACAGAGGGTCCTTCACCTGTGGCCGTCAGGAAGGTGCGAGGAGGAGAACCGAGGCTCCGGCTGCCTCGGGGAGAGGCATGGGGGAGCCCCCACTCCTGTGCTGGAGCCACGGTCTACCTGGGAACGCCAGTGACATTACATGCTTTGCAGCAACAGAGCAAAGGCTCTTCCTGGCTGTTCTCAAAAGTCAAACACGTGAGACCGTACTTTGTTTACTCCAAGTCACTGTACCACGGGACACCCCGTTCCTCCTCTTCGTTAGCTATGGCTCTACGTATAGTTTGATTCACAGCAAGACCCTGACTAGACAGAAGGCTCAAGTTAAGGGCCAGGCTGTGACCTGACAGTCTACTTCCGGCCTGCAAGGACCACCCCTCCCCCTGGGAGGCACCAGGGCCTGACTGTAGCATGAGGCGCAGTCCAAACGCTGCTACGCCTAGATAACGTCCAAACGTGACAGGGTCTCTTCCCTGGAATCAAAACAGGACTGTTTTTGAGTGAAAACGCCAGTGCAGTACTCATTAACTCACGCCAACTGCCTCATGTCACACATCCCCCAGGAGCACTGCCTCCAGCCCCTGACTCGACCAACCGCACGAGTGGCAGGCCCTCCAGCCAGCGTGCTCTGTGGCCTCCTAGTCGCAGAGAGTACCATCGCCAGCAGAAGCCTCCGGGGGGGACAGTGCACACAATCACCCCCACCCCACTTGTCCATTCTCACTGGAATCCCATCATTTGTCACAAGGAGGTAAACCTGGGGTAAAGGAAGCCATACTGAGAACCTCACGGCTGGGGGACACGTTTACATGGGCGGTCGCTCTGGTACAGGCCATTGGAGAGCTAAGATAAACCTCACAGGTACGTTTCAGGTGCAGGGAGTAGCATTCACCACCCCCCACTGGGGATGCTGCCTCTAGAAATAAGCCCAGACCCACCGCACAGGGTTGCAGTGCCCAGGGAACGTTGCAGGGTGTGTTTCCTCCAACGCTAGCTGCGTTCCCCACTCCTGTGACACAGCCTGGCCTCTACGTCCCCTGGAGGACCAGGCCCCCACTGGCCACTGCTGTTGGGCAGGGCGCCCAGGCGCTGTGGGGACAGGTCTGCCCACCTGACCACACGGTTTCTTGCTTTGCTTCCTGGCGGTTGTCGGGTCTTTTCAGTCCTACGTCTTCCCCGTCTGTAGTCTGTGGCCGACCCTCTTCCTGCTTCTGGTCCATTCCTTCCAGTTAACAAGGTGTGGGCACCAGGCCTGCATCTGAAGCAGCGGGTGGCTTTGGGGATGGTGTGGACACATTGGACGGAGTGGGCCCAGGAGCTGGGAAACGTGGGAAGGGCCGAGCCTGCCCTGATTCAGTGTATGACCTCGGACAGGTCTCCCTTGGCTCTTAGACAGGGAAGGAGAGGGTGGGCCAGGTGCCCTGGGAGGGTCCTCTTGACTTGGAGCCAGCCCCACTGACTTCAGAACCATGGCTCCGAGGAGCCCAGGGGAGCCCTTGCAGCCTCCGCTGCGTCAGGGCAGCTTCTCAGAAGCAGCTCTGCTGTCCCTTACTGAACGGAACACAGTGACTCTGGAACAAGACTACACTTGGAGAACGGGCTCTACTGGTAAACAGAGCACAGAAACGGCTGAGCTTGCTGTGAGGCGGCCAGGTGCTGGCCCTCCTTGCCGCTGCCACTACCCAGCAGAAATGGCAAGGTAGGTTTCCCGGGTGCCAGCCCACGCTGCCCTTCCTGAGCAGCCCTGCCAGGCCTGCCTGGGTCACCATCTCGGTCTGCCACTCCAGGTCCTGTCACTGAGACCTGCCCTGGCTGTCTCGGTGGCTGGCTGTGGGGCCCTGCATGACCCGGATACTAGCACAGCAGAAACTTGAGCCTGGCCACCCTTGCCCAGGAGCCACTGAGAACTGACCACCCAGCAGTGGCTCAGCGAAGGTCCAATGCAAGGCCCTCTTCTTTTTTTTTTTTTAAATTACGATTTGGGTGAAGATTGACAGAGTAAATTCACTTTTCATACAGCAGTTCACATATACTTTGTCTCATGTCATTGACCAAAATTTACAATGCAGCAGCTCCCCTCCCACTTCCTCCCCATAGTTACCTCCTCCCAGTGTCCATCCCTTCATACTCTTCTGCACCCTGAGCTATCTCCCTGTGCATAAGCAGCCCTTCCTTCTCCCATGATTGTTCTCTCCAGAGCGTGTGTCTACTTGAGGTAAATGTTTAACTCACATGCCTGTACTTTGTTTGGCTGGAAACCACAGGTGTGGGTTCAATTCCAGACCCGAAGGGCAGCTAGGGGCCATAGTCTCAGTGGTTACACCAGGCTCTATTGGACCAGCAAAACTGGTCCCCACCTTCTTTTTTTTTTTTTGCCTCCAAATGATTTTGAGTTTTGTACCACATTGTTCTCCCTCTTTATGCAGGATCTCCTACATCCCTTCCAAGTGGATGGCAGTGGTAGCTGGGCACCATCTAGTTCTTCTGGTCTCATAGTTGTATAGGTTGTAGATCTATGGTGTACCAGTCTCTAGGACTGGTTGTTTCCATTAATTTTGGTTTTCTTCTTGACGAGGAGAGACCCGTTGTTGCATCTAGATGGCAGCTTCCTAGCTTTTAAGGTCCCAGTCGCTACTCACCAAAGTAGTAGGTGGAACAATGTTTTGTATAGTATGTTATGCCAATTGAGCTTGATGTCCCCTGCGACCATGGTCCCAAGCCCGCAGGATCAACCACTTGGTCCCTCTGGGTAGCTGGCTGTGACCAAGTAATGACCATAACCTTGCCCCTTGTCAGCTCTACTATACACCTGGGAATTCTGATCATTCACATGAACTTATAGGCCCATTGTCTGCCAACCCTATATATGATCTTGGATACACTCTCCATTTAGACATACCTAATTGTTTAGCTTGTTCACCTATCTATCCGTCCCTATACCCATGTTTGCTTTCACTGACAACTCAGTACTGTATATGCAAAGGGGTTCATATTTGTTGTCTGTACTGCCCATGTAACTCTCTATGTCTTTCTCATCCTCAATGCTGCCATATTGGTCACTCACATTTGGTACATTGCCCTTCTCTTCACCCAAATCAATATTTATCTCTATCTATCTAACAGCATTCCCTCCCCTCCCCTCCCACCCCTGGTAACCAACAAAGAAAATGTCCTCCAATATATAAACCTTTCGCAAGGCCCTCTTCTTGAGTGCTCATGACCCCCAGATGGCCACCTGCAAGTGGTCCCCAGCCTGCCAGGTCCTCCCGCCAGCACTCCAGGGCCAGTGTCCCCTCCTCTCTGCACGGCTCCACCTGGCCTGTGGGTGTACTTCCCCTGTGACCCCGCAGCCACCAGCCATGTGCTCCTCTCTTTGCTGGCTTCCTCAAACCCTGCCTATGCACTGCAGGGGTCTGTCTCTAT